TACATCAAGAAAATAAACAAAGCTGGATATGGTGGCTCATGTCTGTAATTCCAGCACATGGGAAGATAAGACAAGAGGATTACCTCAAGTTAGAGGCCACCCTGAGCTGCATAGTGAGTTCCTGCTATCCTGGGCTACAGAGAAAGACCCTGTCTCAAAAACAAACAAGAAATAGAAGAAGGGGGAAAAGGAGAGGGGGGAACATTATGAGTACATTCTTTTTTGTTAATATTTTACTTACTACTTTTATATGTATGAGTGTATATGTGCACCCATGTCATGCAATGCCTGTGGAGGTCTGAAGGAGGCATCAGATCCCCTGGAACTGGAGTTACAGACAGTTGTTAGCCATCATGTGGGTGCTGGAAATCAAACCCGGTCCTCTGCAAGAGCATCCAGTGCTCTTAACTGCTGAGTTAAGTACTCACTCCAGCCCCTGTGAGTACGTTCTTATAGCCAAATCTGCTAAACTGGTCAAATAATCAAAAAAAAGTGGATAGAAATATGATAAATGTTCTGGGGGCTAGAGAGAGATGGCTCAGTGGTTAAAAGGACTGACTGCTCTTGCAAAGGACTCGGGTTCATATCCCAGCACCCACATGGCAGCTACAAAACGTCCTTAATTCCAATTACAGGGGATTCTGAAGCCCTCTTCTGACCTTTGTGGGCATTGTACAATATAGGTGCACTCACATACATGCAGGCAGTATACCCCTACACATAAAATAAAAATAAATAAAATATTTAAAAAATAATAATAAAATGTTTAAAGTTCAAAGTTTAAAATAAGACAGAAAAACCTAATTTTCAAATTTGAAAGCCCCACTAACAAGAAGAAACATCCTAACTGTGCAGAATGGATGCTAGCCTTCTTGCTGTCCTGGCCACACTCCAGGATTCCCAGGGACACAGCCAATAGTCTACCTTTATCAACCCTAGTGGTCTATGAAGTACACCACTCAATAAACGGCAATAAACTCTAAAGGCCAAGGAGAAGAACAGTTCTAAGGAGGGCTGATCCCCTAGTTCTGCAGACCACATGGAAGGTGCAAAGACTTCTGTAGCCCTCATCCTTCAGTACTAGGAACTACTGGAGTAGCAGTAGGCTAGTCAGTCCACATTTCTCAAGAGGGCATGAGAGATCTGTACAAAGCTGAGTATTTGCAACTATACAGTCATTTCATGAGGAAGCCTTTCAAAAGTGTGTGTTTACATTACATAATATCTAACATCAGTAAAGGGTAGAGATAACTGTATTTCACAGTGAACAGTCTAAATAATAGTATGCAATATTATATCAATAACTATAAATTAATACAAATGTTGATATGGTACCAACATCTTTTAATTAAAACTGTATTCTGCACCTAGATCTTATACAAGCAATCTTAAATAGTCCTTGTAGAATTTTAAACACTTTAAATAAAGAAATAAAATTCAGGGTTGGAGCGATGGCCCAGCAGTTAAGAGCACTGGCTGCTTTTCACAGAGGACTTGGGTTCAGTTCCCAGCACCCACAGGGTGGTTAACAACCATCTGTAATTCCAGTTCCAGGGGATCCAATGCCCTCTTCTGACCTCCTTAGGCACTGCAAGCATGGGTGCACTTACATACATGCAGGCAATACACTCATACACATAAAGCAAAAATAATACATATAATATTTTTAAAGGAAATAAAATTCATATTCCTAATTAGTAAATTTTGTATGCAATTTACACATTAAAGCCAAGATGGCAAAGACAGACTCTCTACCCTCAAAACAACTTTTTATGGGGGGTGAGGGATATCGTGACAAGGTTTTCCTGTAGCCCCAGCTGGCCTTGATCTTACAGAGATCCCCCTGCCTCCACCTCTGAGTATTGGGACTAAAGGCATGAAGGACTAAAGGCATGAACCACCACACCCAGTTCAAAACAGCCTTTAATCTTGATCAATAAACATTTGTAAAGGTCAACACTGAAAATCACATGGGTTTTCTATCTCAAAAGTTAACTGGAGTTGGGGGGGGCACATCTGGAGAGATGGCTCAGCAGTTAAGAATACCCACTGTTCTTGCAGAAGACCCAGGTTTGAATCCCAGCACCCACATGGCAGCTAACAACTAACTGTCCATAACTCTAGTTCCAGGAGATCTGACGGCTTCTGTCATCTGCAGGCATTGTACAACATGGGTGCACTTACAAACCTGTAGGCAATACATGCATACACATAAAAATAAAAAAGAAAATGAAAAAACTATGGAAGCATGACAGAATGAGCAGATGAGGTGCACAGGGAGTCACCTAGGTATATTAACAAGCTCCAATCTCTATGGCCCTTCCCATTTCATGGGACTGCCTTACAGAGACCAGCCAACAAGCCTCTACTCTGTCAAGAAAACCTAAAAGAACAGTTGAAAAAAAGTGAGACAAGCAAGTATGTTGTGTGCTAGATGAGGACAATTAGCAAATGAGCAAATGGAGATTAGAAAGCTCAGAAAAGAGACACACGCACAGCAATTATTAGCAAAATGTCACAAGGCAATAAATAAGAAGTCAGTTTGACCCATGGTGGAAAATGAACTGCGTATCTACAGCAAAGAAATGGCTCTTCCTCACATATTCAAATATTGCCTCAAGGTATATCAAGGAACTGTGTGAATGCTATAAAACTTCAGAAAAAAAAATGTGGAATAAACCCTGGTGACTTGGTTTACTCTTCCACAATGATTTCTTAGAGCACAAAAGGCATGAGCCATAAAAGAAAACAACTCATAAATTAGACTACAGCTAAATGTTTTACTAGCTGCTCTTACTTTAATATACTGTTAGGAAAGTGGAAAAAGCAAGACAGACTAGGTACAAAAACATGTAGAACATTCACAATTAGACTTGTAGCCAGAACATTTAAAGTGCTCTTACAACTCAGTGAGAAGACAATGGCCTGAACTTATAAGTAAGCAAAAGACATAAACATGCATTTCACAAAAGGAAATACACACGAGTTAAGAGGCTCAATCTCATTATTGACCTAGTAAAAGCAAACTAAAACTACTAGTAAACACCACCTCAAACCCTCTGGAACCACTGAAGTTATGAAGACCAATTCCAACAAACAATGGCAAGAACAGGGAAGATCTATAAGCGCTGATATGGATAAAATGGGACCTGTGCTTTGAAACTGTTTAGTATTTTCCTAAAGAGCTGACTACATCATACATGACTCAACCATGCTACCCCTGAATAGTCAAGCGACACCTATGCAATTGAGGTTGCATGCAGGCATTCACAGCAGCTTCTTTTCTGACAGCCTGTGGTGGTTTGAATTAGAATGTCCCCCATAGGATCCAAGTATTTGGACATTTTTTTGTCCCCAGTTGGTGGTGCTGTTTTAGGAGGTCTTAAAAGGTGTGGCTATGCTGGGTGCAGGCTTAGAGAGTTCTTAAGCCTTGTGGGATCTCCAGTCACTCTCTTGCTTCCTGTGCCTACTTGAAGATGTGAGAGCTTAGCTTCCACTCCTCTTCCATCCACTTCTGCCTCCATGCCACCCTGCCATAATGGACTCCTGCCCCTTTAGAACTGTAAGCTAAATAAACTCTTTGTTTTATAAATTCCCTTGGTCATGATGTTTCTATCACAGCTAACAGAAAGTGACTAATACACAGCCTAACCCACCAGAGACCAGAATCCATCAAGGAGAGAAGGAAGAACAAGCCATAGCATACCACACAACTGGAACACTTCTCAGCAAGAACGAAATCAAAGTGTTACGGACACAAAAAACTGAAGAATGCTACAATTACTTCAAAGAAATTAAAAGGGGGAAAAAAGTCCACACTAAACAATTCTACTCAAACAGAATTCTACAAAATGGTACCCCCATCAGCAGAACAGAGCTGCCTGGGATCAAGGAGATGGTCACTGGGTATGGGAAGGTTCTCCAAGGCAGCAGAGCCAGGCAAGACCTAGAAGTTGAGGACACTGGTGATACTATCCTGGTGAAGGTTCTGTGGCTATATATTAGCTTATATAACTATACTTTGCATTTCAATGCATGCCAAGCACAACTCAACAAAGCTTTACAATGAACTTGGCACATTAACCCTTTGCCTTTCTAACGTGAAGTACATTTTCCAGCATTCATTTTAACAAACTACTACCAGAGCAATGGCCACTGACCCAAGGCCTATGAATGAGGCACAGACTACTGAGGCAGCCAGGGGAAACATAGAATTCCTCTTTCCACATAGTGCTGAGAAATGCCCACCCAGGCCCTAGGTCACTAGTTGCCTCATTCGGGTGACAAATGATCCACCTTGGTTCAGTGTTTGGTAATGAAGTCAGGGTCAACTAGGTTCACTAGAAAGAATGTTTGAGGATCACCCAAGTTTCTCTGATGAAGTAATTTCAAACTTTTTTTTTTAATAGCAGACCCTCTTTTCAAGTGGCATGGAACACCAGCCCCAGGCCAGTCTCCTGCCGAGATACCCCATACTTCCTGCAGGGGCCCCAGCTCTACCGTGCTCACCAAGCAAGCTGCTTGGCTTCTTTCTACTTCTCCGCCTCCTTTTCCGAGCAGGCTTGATCCAGGGGCTATCAGTCTTCCCTCTCCTCTTCAGGAATTTCTTCTTGATACTGGATTCAGAACTCTGGAGGACCAAAGGGCATGTACATCAGAGGCAAAGAACGGGGAACTCTTGAGAGCAAAAAGGACTAGGAGTTGTTTGCCTCCAAAATAAAATACTTGCTATATCTTGATTCTTCCTCTAAGATTCCCTTCACTTTTAGACATATTTCTGGGTTACATTCTAAAGATACCCATGCTGTTCCCTAAATATCTATCTCAGACCTTTTAGAGGCAAAAGAGACAAGAAAATTAAAATTGAATCCTGAGTTTCGCACAAAAGAAAAGAATGAATTAGAAATTTCTACTAAGGATTAAGTAAATAAGCTCAAAAAAAAGTCTACTTTTCATCATACATATGCCTCATTTTGCTCAGGAAAGGAACAAACACTGCTCAATGTACCTCAGAATCCACATGAAAAGAACGTACTTCATGGAGAACAGGAAAGAGCTGTAATCAAGTTATAACAATGCAAGATGTTGTGTATCTGTTCCTATGACGCAGATGGAGAAAGGGCATCTAACTACCACAAATCACAGCTGATGAACAGCACCAATTCTAGTGCTGGGGACACTGGAAAGGAACAGGTCATGCTATAAAAGCATAAGGGTCTCTCAATCCTACTTCTCAAGGGCATGGCATGGCACGGCATAGCACAGCACAGTAGAACGCAGTGCAGTGCAGCGCAGCACAGCACAGCACAGCACAGCAGCCATTCCAATATACTATAGCATGCCCTGCCACAGCTACTTACAAAGCCCTGAATTAGGTACCTGGATCTGTGGCAGGCACCCCAGCACACATGGTGCTGAGGAACCATCTTCAGCACACACTCAGGCTATCCAGATTCCTTCCTATAAACAACCTCTCACTTTACCCTGCACTTCCACATAGAAAAAATTCTGCAAGAACTTCTGGAAGCACACTGCAAAGCAAAATCTTCCACTGTCAGAAGTGGATACAATACCCCAGAAAATAACGCTTCCTCACCAAACCCAAGGATCCCTTATGTGTTTTCCTCTCCTTCACCACAGCAGCCTGACACTAGGGGCCACTTTCTCCCTCTTTAGTTGTTGGTTCAATACTTTCCCCCAACAGCAAAGAAACTTCCTCCTCAAGCTCACAAGATTCTCACCCCCTGTATGTGGGGTGTTCCTGAACCTCCATTACAGAGACTCCCCCATTTCCAACCTCCTTGGCTCCCACAGATCTTCAGGCTTTGCCTCTGTCAGCTACCTCCCAAGCAAAGGAGACTTCAACATAGGCAGAGCAGGACTGCCCTCCATTCCACTTCAACGCACTCAAATTTAGCACTTCTTTCTCTTTCAGTAGCCAGTGCAGCAGAACCTACCACTTACCACTTGTATCAGCAACCAGAATATGGAACCACACTCTTTCCTCAGAACCAAGGAGCCCTAGGCCAGGCCTGATTTGCTGTTAGATCCTAACACCTAGATCACTATACCAGTTCAGCCTGGCCCTGAGCTACAAGTCTGTGTGGCCTCTTTACCACTCTCCCTAGGTAGGATCCTATGACTCTCAGCATACATAGGCGGTCACAGTGGCCTTGTCTGAAGTTTTTCAACTATGGGACCATGAGAATAAACGTTAGATTACCAGGTCAGACTCATCTCCGCCGTCTTCATCCTCTCCTGTGTCAGGTGACTCCTGCTCCTCTTCCGAATCACCATCCATCTGATCAAGCCACGTGGGGTAGAAAACCAGATCAAAACAAAAATCAATTAGATCCTTCAGTGGAAAACAAATAGACCCAAAACAAATGTTTAAAACACAATGGCAGGCATATATGGAAAGGAATCCATTGTCTGCCCCTTGCAGAGATCAAGCTACCTGGCTGGCTCTAGCCAGCGACTAAGCAGAAAACAAGACGAGTTTCCGCTCCTGCTCCCTGCTAAGACACACCATCCCAAATGGATCCACTCCTCCATGGTATAAATAAATTTGACTCAAATTTATTAACTTCACCCTGAAGGTTACTATGTACACAAAGCATGGCAGACATCAGTAAAAAGTGGTAATATATACAGGCAAGTATATTCTCAAGGGCTACAAAATAATACCCAACCAAACCTCCCCCTACCTGCCCAAGAACAGTCCCAGCCCTAGAGTCATCACTGTTGTGCTGGCCTACTACTATCCAGCCACACTGAGCCTACACATAATCCGCTTCCATGTTGGGCATACTTCAGTGAATTAATTTTTTTCTAATTGCAAATACGTTTTGGAATTCCTTCTACATCAGAACAGCAGAGGTATCTTGTTTTTCCTGTTGTATTTAATCTATCTACACTGGCAATGCATAGATAGTGTCCATTTGCCCTACATCCACCCGCTCCTGAAGCAGGGCCATGGTCTCTGGTGTGCTGTGGCCCGACTCCCTGTGGGTTACATTCCATTGCCTCTTTCTGGATTCCCAGGTCACCTGTATGTCTAAAGTGCATAGGATGGCTGCATTCCAGACAACCCAAGGTCCTCCAAGACAGAAAAGCAGATTCAGAGGTGTAACTCCCAAGTCAAAGGGTGCCCCTCTCCGGTGGTGACTCTCACATTCCACTGTACACATGACTCTTGTGTGCCCTTACCAAGCGCTGCTGACTTGTCTCCTATTGTTCTTACAAAATCCCCACAACTGCTCTCAGATCCCCACAGTTGATTAACTTAGAATCGGCACCTCTACAAAAGTTCTGTTAAGAGTTTTAATGGGAACTGTTTTAAGCTTACAGACAAACCTGGAGACAAAACAACATTATCTCCTCATTCACAAAAGTGGCAGGTCTCTTAACAGCTTTCAGCAATTTTCTACTGCTCTTGTCTTCCATCACAGTTCTGCTGAACTTGTTCCTAGGTGCCCTGGGGATGCTAAGAATTACAGCTAACTTTCTAGATATGATGCGTAGTTTGTCTGTCAGATTCCTGATCTTCAAAGATCCACACTGACATTGGCCTTAAAACAACCTGCACACAGTAAGGTCTGGATACTGGACACTGACATCTGGACCTCTGTGTAACTTTCTATTTAATGCTTTCTATGCCTAGGCAGATATGGATCTGCTGGTGATGCTGATGCCACATTCACAGCTTCTATGTCTTGATCAAATGGAAGTTAATTTGGTTCAATAGTTGTAATAATTTTTCAGCAGATTTTCCCAGATTTTTGGATGGATGTTTATATTCTCAGCAAACTCTTCTCCTCTGTCCTTTTAAATATTAATGTGTCTTTCTGGCTTTTCTCTTATACCATCACAGAACAGTCAAACTTGTTACCCTCATGCTAGAAATTTTTAAAAAAGCAGCAATCTCACCCTCATTTTATAACTGATAATAGAAATGCTTCTGATTTTCACCATCTATATTGTGGGACTCTGAACCTTCATCAGTTTTATTTAATTTTAAGTTTTCTCTTAATTCATTAAGCTTAAAAAAAAAATTTAATGTGTATGAGTGTTTAAAAACATGGAATGTAGTTGGGCATGGTGGCACACGCCTTTGGTCCCAGTACTTGGAAGGCAGAGGCAGGTGGATCTCTATGAGTTCAGGGCCAGCCTGGTCTACATAGTGAGTTCCAGGCCAGCTGGGGCTACAGTGAAACTCTGTCTCAAAAATACAAATAAATAAATAATAAATAAATAAATACTGCTTTGCAAATTTGCTATTATCCTTTGTACAGGGGCCATGCTAATCTTCTCTGTATGGTTCTAATTTTGGTATATGTGGGGCTTAATGTGAGCACTCATCAGACTTTTTATTATCATTTTTAAATATTTTATTATTTTTATTTTTATGTGTATGAGTGTATTGCCTGCATGTATGTGAGCGCACCCATGTTGTGCAATCCCACAGAGATCAGAAGGCGTCGAATTCCCCCGGAACTGGAGTTAAGGACGGTTCATAACTGCCATGTGGGTGCTAGAAATCTAACCCGGGTCTTCTGCAAGAGCAGTCAGTGCTCTTAAGCACTGAGCCATTTCTCCAGCCCCTATTATTATTATTTTAAACAACACTGAAGAATGTAGCTATCAATTACAGAAGGCAAAATTAACAACACAGTTAAGTCCAACTTCAATAAAGGAATTAACAACACAGTTAAGTCCAACTCCAGTAAAGGGACTGCACAAGATAGCACAGTCACTGTAAAAGGTGCTGTTTGACAGTTACACATATAACAGGTTTAAGGAAGAAAGCCTAAGCTGAAATTGCAAGGAAAAGGGAGAGTGAAGGGTAAAAACTGGCAAAGAGTACATAGGCAGGAAGGAAATGGCACGTGATGCAGCTAAAAGGGCAGAGGGCAGGAGATTCAAAGCTGCCCGATCTAGGTGACAGCCAGTATCTGAGAATCCTAGGCCAGATGGAAACAACTCAACAGGTTCAGCTTCTAGCTAAGAGGCAAAGGCCTAGCTCTTCCCTAACCAATACTCAGAAAGGCAGTTGTGCCCAACTGTCAGTGTCTCAATTAGCTTCTGATCCACATAGCTAGACAAAGACACCAAGCTTTCCATAAAAAAGCAAACCACAGGAAACACAATACTGTGCTGACTATGTACACAAGTCTCATTTCTAGATCGAAGAATGACAAAATGACAAGCAACTTAATACCAAATAGATGAATGGTTGAGACTTGATCAGGTACTTCACAAAATAAGCACTCAAAACAGTACTCCATCTTCCAGAAATCAGGGAAATGTAAATTAAAACTATAATACACTAGCATACTGCACTCATTGGGTAGGGCTATGGTAAGCCTGGCAAGCTTGGCAAGTCAGCACAGGAAACAGTGCTCAGAAGCAGCTAGCAGAAATGTAAACTGGTACAACCCTCTGCAAACCTGTCTGGCAGTGTCTTTAGATTAATGGTCACAATTACCTACCCCCAGTATACACCAAGGAATCACCTATGCATAGAAGGCTGGTGGCACTGTCACTTCAGATAAGCCCTAACTAGAAAAAACCTAAATGCTCATAGTACAGAATAAACACCCAAATGGGGATAGAGTCCCACAAAGGATCATTATATCATAGTGGTTCTCAAGCTCATAAAGAATTACTGCAAACAATAAAGAGCTTCTGCTAATTTACCTACTAACATTTATTTCAAAAGAATTTTAGGGTGAGAACACTTAAACTACAAGACAGTTAACTAGGTACCAATGCAAGACAGCAACACAGCTTAACTCTCCCAAAGGACAGCAAGAGGCAGACAGTATCATAGCACATTATAATGACAGTGCTGATCTTATAGATCTCTTCAGACAAATTCATAGATCTACAGTCTACCTGGATTCTACAAAAATAAAGGAGACCTTGTCTCAAAAAGACCAAAAATAAAATAAAACTCCAAACAAAGGAAGTAAAATAAGCCATCAAACAAAAAAGGACACATTCTATGTGATTCCATTTATGTAAGACCAAAACCAAACAATTCTAGTATTAGTACTCAGACAAGGGGTACTTCTCAGGGTAAATGCAGAGGACAGGGGAGGGTGGACTTGAAAAGTGCTGATAAATACCACACTGATCAGGTTTGGGTCACAGAAGGGCATCAGCCCTTAATTTTCAATGAGCTATGTACCTGTATATTGTACTATAGTGTGTTTCTCTGCAGCCTTTTGGCTAAGATCAAAAATAAAATAGTGCCTCCAAATTCAAAGAACATAAACTTTATAAAATGTAACTTTGGTTATAAGATGGGATCCTGGAGCCGGGCGTGGTGGCACATGCCTTTAGTCCCAGCACTTGGGAGGCAGAGGCAGGCGGATCTCTTTTGTGAGTTCGAGGCCAGCCTGGTCTCCACAGTGAATCCAGACCAGCTGCGGTTACAGGGAGACCCTGTCTCAAAAAAGAAAAAAAAAGACGGGATCCTGGAATGTTATACTGGATGGTCTCGAACTCCTGGGCTCAAGTGACCCTTCCTGCCTCACTTCCTCAAGTAGCTGGGGCTATAGGTACATGATACCATGCCTGACTTAAAATGTTTAATGAATAGAGCTCTCCTGATCATTACCATTTTAGCACATAGCTGTATTTGGCTAGGGTTAGGATTTTAAATGAATGTAGCCTAAAAATGAGCAACAATTACTTTTTTCTGTCTCTATTATTCAAAATAGTTTATGTAACAAAATCACTGCTGACTCAGTGAGACTTGATCCAGCCATCTTATTCTGTTTCCAGTGATCAAGTTTCCTTCTTGGTTTGCATTTTCTTTCTTCTTTTATTGGCTCAACAGTTATTTAATTTTTACAAATGTTAAATAAAAAGCAAGAAGGAAATTTCACCAATGCCTAGCAGTGCTCAGGACACTACCTCTCAGGTTCTGTAGTCAACTTCATGATTCCCTTCCCTTGTGTCACCACCTGGGGAAGGACAGACCCACCTTTGTAGTACGATCAGTCTCGGACATGCTCTCTTTAGAAGTCCTGCTGTCCTCGGTGGGAAATGCAGCAGCCTGCTCAACTCCATGGTCCTCGTCCTCCTCAAGCTCATCCGAGTCATCATCTTCTGAGTCCATCTCCAAGCTCTCCCCGTTCACATGCAGGGTACTGTCACCCAAGGCCTTCTCGCCCTGGAACACGGCAGTGCACAGCTCTCAGAAGGACCACTGCCTAGTATCAAAAACTTACTAACTTGCTGTGAGCTCAAACAGAGGGAAACACAAATGTCTGCCAGTGCTAGGGTACAACAAAGTCTATTGTCTACAAGAGTCCTGCAGGAAGAGTCCTCCCAGGACTACTGCTGGGGGGCGGAGGGGAGCTCAAGAGCTCTGATGCCTTCCACAGGGATCCAGGTCATCCAAATTACTGATAACCTCAACAGAATGTTTTTTTGGCCAAAAAGCCTCTGGAACCAGAAACGCATTTCCAAGAACATATGGCAAACAACTCTCACGTCCCTCTTACCTTGGGGCCCACAGTGGAATGAGTTATGCTCTTAAACATTTCGATCACCGTCCTCTGCTTTAATACTTTGGTCTTTTTCTTGGGAACCAGGCTATAGGTTCCCATTCTTCGTTTTTTCTTCCGAGATACTGCAGCTGCTAAAACAAAAGGCAAGCAAGCTAAAAAAAAAAAAAAGTCAAAAGGGGACAAGAAAGGGAAAGAAATACCATTCAAATGTTTTTAGAGGCAGAAGGGAGGTTATAAAATCTGATCACCAAAATCATCTACAAACTCAACTAAATTAGACATACTTTTATGGGCATCTACCCAAGGATGACAGGCCTCCCTTACTTGGCACAAATTGTAGAGAAAGTTAAAATACTTCCAAGACCATGTTTCATTAGAAATAAACTAAGTAAACATCCTTCTAGGCAAAAAAATCAAAAACCTCGAAAAAAACAAGGTCTTGAGATCCTCCTACTCACAAGTCTCCATGGCCTCAAATACAAGAAGCCCCGCACTGAGAAATCCTCCTTCTCCAATATACACTTGAAAGGAACATGTGTACATCAGGAAGAATCTGGGTTGAGAAGGAAGATCTTCTATCACAGAGTGAGCCCAGCTAGTCCTAGAATGTGGAGATCTCGCTCCTAGGTGGAGTAGATACCTGGCTTCTCTGTATGCCATTTTCTGGGGCCCTTTCCCCAATCACCCAATCATTAAGGAGAAAGAAGACCCCTGAAATGTTGTTCAGCCCACTTTAACAGACAATTCTAGGGGTTTGAGGCAGCGGTCTTTAAAAAAGAGGCAGCAATGAGAAAATACAGACTGGGGGGGGGGTCTCAGGAACTCCAGACACTTCTGAACAAAGCAACACAAGAATGAAGATTTTACATAAGGAGATGCTCTACAGTATATTTACTTTTTTTTTTAATTAATTTTTTAATTCCAAGGTTAAAGATCTAAAGAACACTGCTTTAGGATAGAGTAATTTTCTAGAGACCTGAGGAGGAAAAATACATCATGTTTTAATGTTTTACTCAACAAAGAAAGGGAAAGTATGAAGAACAGCACAATGGGTAAGACAATGCTTGCAGCACCATCTCCTCAGTCCAGCGCCATACCACAGGGCTGCAGGGAGCCAATCTCTAGTGAATACAAGGGATAACTGCATGTATCTTCTCAACAGTATATTTTCCTAACTTATCACAAGAACCCATGATAACACAACAACAGACCAAGGCATACCACCTGTTCACAGATAAATCTTACAGAGATACCGCCCCACTATCCTTTTATATAGTCTGAGGGTGCTGTCGTAACAAGGAAAATAAGAACATATACCTTTCAGCCTTAAAATCCTGCCTGTCCTTAGAGAATCTGCTGGCTTCCACAGTGGCCTGAATGAGGACAAGGGAGACAAATGCACCTGCTAATTTTATCTTAAGACTGCAGGAGCCCAGCAATCAAGACTTTCTTTTTTTGTGTGTCTTTTTCTTGTATTTTCATCTTTTCGGGGGGGGGGGGGGGGGGGGGGGGGGGGGGGGGAGAGGCTAGCCTAGAGGACCAAACCCAGGGCCTAGCGCTCTGCCACTGAGCTAAATCCCCAACCCCCAATCAAGACTTTCTAATGGTCTTTCTCACTAGGTTAACTAGTTACACATGTGAAACACCATGCTAGAGCAGTACAGACTTAGCATACTATAGACTAGGAAAGAAATGTCTGTTAACTTCAGGAAATACAGGATCTATTGAGCACCTAGACATTTATAAACAGGTAGCTGAGGCAAAAAGGTAAACTGCTGCCATGCTGCAGGAAGGTCTTACAAAATCCAGGTGAAATCTCCTATTCACAGTCAAGGGCTTTCTTCTTCCCTTAGAGACAAGAGTTATGCAATTTGGGAGTCTTTTAAATAGGCCCACTGAAGGGGTACCCCAATTGCCTCACCCTGCATCCCTGTTCAGCATGGAAGCCAGAGCAGTCTGCATCTCGATTCCCTATCTGCAAGTTGCGTAACCTCTTCAGAGGATGGTGTGATAAGAATAGGAGGTAGGAATTGGCTAGGCAGTATAAAAAGACCCCAAAGAAAAGCAGCCAGTTTCTTGGCTAGAAGTCAAAATGTCCTTGGGCCTCTTAGCAACATACTCCGTTCCAAAGGCCAAAAATGTCTAAAGTATTCGGGAGCTTTTATCTAATCCGTAAAAGATTTTAGGGTTACCTCTTCAGGAAGGAATGATAGAGTGGCAAAAAGAAGAAAGAGCACAAGAAGTGATGGGGAGATATGGAAGGAGTTGGAGAAGAGGAAGTGGACATCATGGATTTGATCAAAACACCTTATATGTTTATATGCCTATATGAAATTCTCATTAAAAAAATTTTTAATTAAAAAAAATAATAAAATGTGGAAAAAAAAAAAAAATGCAGGTGAAGGGCTAGGCCCAGAGTCAGATGACTGGGATCCAGGATAGTAAAGACCAGGAAGGGGAAGCCACAGGAAAGCTGACAGTTTAGAAGGGGCTCAAGGGACAGAGCCTGTACACAGAATATTAAAGCAGGCAAAGGCAGGCTGGTCTCTGCAATTTCAAGGTCTGCCTGGGCTACATAGTAAGTTCCAAGCCAGCCAGGGGCTACAAAAACCAAAACCAAGGCCAAGCGTGGTGGCGCACACCTTTAATCTCAGCACTCGGGAGGCAGAGACAGGCAGATCTCTGTGAGTTCAAGGCCAGCCTGGTCTACATAGTGAGTTCCAGGACAGCTGGGACTACAAGGAGACCCTGTCTCAAAAAGACCAAAAAA